GCGTTGCAAATCATGCGCCTATCTTGCCAAAAAGAATAGAGCGCGCTTAAGCCCGCTAAGCCGAAACCCGTAAGCGTAAGCGGAAGCGTTTTTATGGTGCTGTCTGTTATTTATTAGTGTTTTCGTTTCGTTTATATGTTTGTTAGGTTCATGTGAGTATACACTATTATGGGTTTGAATATGTCCCTCGTTTAACCTAACATACTGTATACCTAATTCCTATTTAAAGCTGAATAGTTTGTTTGACGCGTTGATCTTCGGAACCATTATTGGTCCGAATTGCAAAAATATTTTTGTGTTTATATCGAGGAAGGCAAGACTACAAAACATCACGCTTCGACCAGGATTAGAGAAGAGCGAGTAAAACCGTGCACGCGGAAGAGTAGCTAGTTTTAAGATATAACTGAAAGCTACATCAGATGCCAAACTCAATTACTGTACCTCACTCACTTCTCTCTCATCTTTCGCCCTTCTCTCATTTTAGTCGAAAGAATCATAAACAAGAGCCTAGTGTTTGACCGACCATCTGCTGCATACGCAGTGTCGCAAGATTGATTCACACGGATATATATTTCTTATTGAAGATGTACAAGTTAGGAATTTGGTAGTCATATTAAGATAAAATATCCATCAGGTACTTTTTGAGTTTATACAAATCTCCAACAGCAATGTATCGTATCATAATAATGAAATTGTCAATAACAACTTGGTTGGTACTGGTATTAATGTAGGTAAAGTAATTTAGGAAAATCGAAAATGATACACATTTTATGGTCCTTAAATATTTAATTATAATAATATTGAACGATTACATAGCATAACACTAGGTAACAGTACTTTATCTTATATATTTTTTTTATTTTTGAGGGCGTAAATCATCCAATGACTTCTCTCACCCGGATAAGGTGAGAGGGAGTGTCAGACTCTTACTGACTAAAAACCACCCCGTTCCTACTCCTACACGTCGAGCCGGAGCCCCGGCAACCCGTTAAGCCCTCCGCTGCTCCGTATCGGCGTCAGCATTGGGGATCTGTGGTGGTCTGATGGCTCCTTAAGACGCGCGCGGAACGCGACGTGCCGTACCTTCGGACCTTATCTTATATGTAGATATTAAATTAATTTATAAAGCTGAAGAATTTGTTTGTTTGAGCGCAATAATCTCCGGAACTAGGTACTGGTCCGAATACATCACGCAGTCACGTTACATCAATAAGAATCGAGCAAGTTAGAAGAAGTAGCTAGTTTGTATTGTAACTTTGTAAGTAGCTAGTTGATATTAAAATGAGGTGATAAGCATCATTCTTCAGTTTTCAAGCAGCATCGGTCTTTCATATATATGTACATACATATTCTAATCTTATTCATTTAAATGCCGAGTTGTTCGTACAAAATCGGCACGTAGTCGTCGTACTCAGCTTGGTAAAAGTTGCCCGCGATGGGATCTCCCAAGTTGTACTTCTTCGCGAAGTTGGCGATCGAGAAGTAATCACGGTTTGCTGTTGTTCTGAAATGATAAGAGTATTGGGTTATATGTATTAATAACGTATAAGTTTCTATGAGTTGGATCTATTTTACTAAGCTACTAACTATGGTTTGGTCAACTTTTTTGGCTTATGCTGTTTGGGAACGTAGTGCGATAGGTAGGTACCAATAGGAACATGGTTTCTCATACTAGGCTCGACTTTTTTTTTTTTTAAGGGCCGGTCGAGCCGGAGCCCCGGTTACCCGTTAGGTACTCCGCGACACTAGGCTCGACTAGGGTATCACTATGCATAACTCACTAATAAAACACTACCTACGTCCTAAGACCCAGTGTAATTTTCCAAGCACTTCGAATACCCTAATTTCCGACTGTTCCGGGATCTAATCTATTAAATAGAGAAGGATTGTACTATGTAGCAATTGACCGTGGTAATATAACCATGATTACTAGCACTTAGCACTTTTTTAACTTACAAATTAATCCTAGGCTCATCAAAATCCAGTTTAGCTGGTTGTTCGTAGACTAGGAACACATAGCGATGCAGGCCGCTGCCGAGTGATGGTCCAGCTCCGAAGTACTGCATGAGCTGGTCTCCAGACGCGATGTCATCTCCTGGCACGTTGCCCACCAGCCAGTGGGCAAACTCCCGCCATACTGGCTCTGCACGAGAAGGAGCGTCGGGGTCTGGAATGAAGGAAAATAATATTTTTTATGTGGTTTGATCTAAGGGACATAATAAAATGTAAAATATTCATAGGCAGTGCAATAATAACACTTAGATAAACCATTGTGGACTGGGAGTTTGCAATTCGAGAACGAAGGGGATAAATTATTCAGATAAATACTCAAAATGGATTAATACTGAGTTTTTACGTTAATTCGTTGTTACTCCCAACCCAAAGAAAAATGATTTTGTGCTTGGCAACTCCGCCTACAGGTGAATAATATCTTCATAAACAAAATAGTAGGTATAACTGTCCCATCAGATCGTGAGAATCAGAGAATGAAGCATCTACCTTTACTATAACTTCTTAAGGCTAGTCAGAAGACTTCAGAGGCCATAACATATGTATACACATATTATTACTGTTATCGAGGTACCTATGTAGGTACCACTAATTACATTACTTACCAGTGTTCATAACAGTATAGAAGACGTCAGGGTTTGCATTCCATGAGAGTGAGGGGAGGTCCTTCACCAGGGTAGGAGTCAGCACGTTGCCCCCATTCACTTCTGCACCACTCGGGAATTTTACCTGGAATTATGATATAATAATTATTATAAATAAAGTAACTAAGTACTTTTCTAGATACTTAGTTAACTACGATCTCGACAATGATAATTCCATGATGATTCAAAACACCTGGTACCTACCTTTTCAGGTACTTATATTTGTTTTAATTCGCAATTAATAGGATCCAAGATCGTATCTAATATTTCTACTCTAAAAACTAACTCTTTTAAAAAGAACACGATAAAAATTATTTGCGTATACCTCTACAATAGTTCTTTTTTAAACTACATTTACTACTCAAATTGTGAAAATTGTAACTGGTTTATGAATAAATTAGGTATTTCTTATTTAAAAATAAAATCCCCAATCCCTTTTTGAAATCGGTTAATTTTCGAATAAAAATGGCTGTTAATGTTAAAACAGGAATAGGTAGGTATTATTAGAGGGGAAACTCACGGTCAAATATTCAGCAGGCGCCACAGATAACACATCGGGCACGACTTCATGTTCCAAAAAGGTTTGAGTTACGTCAGAATGCAAAGGCGATGCAATGAAATTGTTCACACAGCCTAGCAGAATAAGCAAACACAACCGAAGCATCTTGTTGACAGTCTAGTACAGACTACGAATGATACAAAACAAATGTCAAGTTATTTTTATACCTATGTTTTTATTTTATCTTAGGTACTATCTATTACTTACCTACTTTATCTTAATCGTAAAGATGATATGATATTATTATTTTTGTTCATCTCACTCACATGATCTAAAGTTATGAATGGATGATATGGCAATTGATCTAAAGTTAAAAATGTCAAGTCAGAAAGTAAAGGTAATGACTGCACGATTGGCGCAGTACCTGGGCGTCCGGTAGCTGCGCAACGTGTCGCAGGTTGATTTGAACTTGATTCCCGCACAGAACAATATGAATGTGATTCACTTTCAACAACAAGATCCCGTCCACGTCATTTTTTATGTGGGATAGGCCGGTAAACGTTCTGACAAATCACCTGATGATAAGTAATCGGCGCTGCCGATGGTCACCTGGAACATCACAGGCGTTACAAGTGCGTTACCGGCCTTTTGGGGATTAGGAATTTAAGGATTGTTGGAGATTCAGGGACTGGGGAGACTGGGGAGAAGGGGTCAAAACACAATGCAAGCGTTATTTCACGTCGGTTTTCTATAAGGCCGTGGTATTACTCCGGTCGAATTGGCCCATTCGTGCCGAAGCATAACCTTCCCAAACTTTCTAACCAAAGCTTCATTTGCTGGACTATGGATCTTCTTTAAATAAAAAGTGTTTATATAGCAAGCGGTTGGACATCGCAGTTGCAGCAGGTTCAGTTTTATCAGGGAGCACTGCTACCCGGTCTAAGACAAATGTGTAGTTCCTATTGAGTATTAAATGACTTGCAAACATTACATTCCTACACTACAAATCCTTTGAGACATGATGTGATAATATCGATGGGTAATGATGATCTATACCGACGTTTATCAGCCATTACTATCTCTGTTCTAGCAAAATTGACAAGCTGTGTCTATTGCACAATCCAATGCAAGACTAAACACTTCAATGGTGTTTTTATTTTGCCTCCAAATTGAAAGATTTGCTCTCAATAAACGCCGTGTGCAAAATATTGATAGTAAGTCCCTTCATAATGTATTTCATAATGTTGTGTCATAACTTTAACTCTCTGAAAGAATAGGTAGAGGTGGTCCTATATGAGGTGTTCGTTCACCCTTCCTTATCTCTTTGCCAAATCCCATCAAAATTGGCCACGTAGTTTAGGAGTAAAAGCGTAACAAACACTTAAGTACTCTCACATTAACGATAACAGTTATGGTTTATTATTCTTTACACAAGAGTACCTATTTTATAAATAGTCTATAACTTAAAAGGTACTAAATGTGAAATTTTGTTTGTTTGTTTGAACGACTTAAGGTTGATACTTGACAAGCACGGCTGCGGCACGGCTCCGGCACGGCTCCGGCACGTCTCCGGTACAGCTCCGGCACAGCTGCGGTACAGCGATTTTTGCTTTGGAAACAAAAGAATACACATTAGCGTGCTGTCGGCACGCTTACATTTTTTTTATATTGACAACGTTGGCGTTATGAAAGACATTATGTAATACGATATACGATTTAACTCGTCGAGTACCGGTTTTGCAGACACAATTATAGAACAATAGGTTGCGGTCACCGGTGACCGCTTGGTATTTGACAGTTTAAACTTCTTACTTAAATGAAAAGTTAATTGCTTAGTTGGAGCCATGCTGAGCTAGTTGGAAGCGCGCGGTCACCCCGCCGAGCCGTGGTTTTTTTTTTTAAATGTGTAATGACCAGGGTGTTTACTCGCCCCTGTGTGGGCGCCGAACCTGTTGTGGCGTCCCGCTCGGACGCAGCTTATGGCACAGAGGGTCATGGCGATTCGAATGATTATATATATCCTAATTAAGGTTGTGTCACAGTGGAGGACACAAAGAAACATATTGTTAATATTATTACAATTGAATGTTATTAAATAATAAGTAAAATATATAATCTGTATAATAATAATTAAATCATTTTTAGTAAATATTAATTGAATATGAACAAATTAATTAATAATGTATAATGATACTGCAGATATTTAATGTAGGTATGAGTGTAAATTTTAAAATTAATGTAATAATTCACAGTCATCAAAAAATTTTTTTTATATAATAGATATTTGCACGCCATGATAAATGGCAGACATGTCGTAAGCCACTATTGTCTAAGATCTTGCATGCTGTATTATTTTAATTCTGTATGCACACACATGTTTGAGCAAATAAAAATTCTTATTCTTATTCTTATTCTTATTCTAATGATCCGCGGATACCGCACGATCTCCAGGGAGTCGGCGAACCTCCTTGCCGGGTTACCGCCGTGGGATCTGGAGGCGATGGTACTCGCGCGCGTGTATAGCATTAGCATTTAGCATATAACATTTACTACAAAAATAAAAAGAATTTAGTACGTTGCATATATCTGCTGAGCAACAAGTCGCGCAGGTTCTACAACTCAGTTTGATCCCATGAAAACAATTTCATGTAAAATGTTACTAAGACGAAACTGTAATAATAGCTCACCCTATTAAAACGTAATCAGATATTCATCATCATCATCAACAGCCTATAGAGGTAAATGCCCACTGCTAAGTGCTAAGCAAAGCCTCTTATCACACAGAGAAGGTTTGAGCATAATTTCTAATTATAAGTTTGTAATCGCCAATCCGCATTGAACAAGCGTGGTGATTAATGTTCAAAATCAGATATTATGTACTTAGAGTCAATTTTCTAACCGTACATGCAGCCCTAATTCTACACATAAGTTGTGGTGGAACACTATAGCTGCAATCGTAGCGCATAGTACGTAGCACTTGGTTCGTAGTGCGTAGTACGTAGCGTTTGATACATAGTGAGTAGTTTCGTAGCGCTTGCTTCGTAGCGCGTAGTCCGTAGCACTTGGTTGGTGGCGCGTAGTTTGTATTGCGTAGTAACGTGTTCCTGATATTAGTGGAATTAATAAGCGGGTGGAAGAGTTTACAAAGTTTTCACCTTGGCCTTTCTCCAATGATGCATGGCCTGGCCATTATGTTACCACATAAACTATTGTATAACAGAATAGTAATAAACATCGAATTGAGCTCATAATAATATTTATGACAAATAGCAAAATGGCCAAGTAAGTTAAGTAAAATCTATTTCAAGACGAAGTCAAAAAGCCTTCTCAGGGAAAAGTCACACTGATAGTCATCATTTGCAAATCATTGCTGTTATCTTTGAGCCGTAGTAACATGCACACATAATGTACAATTTCGAGTATTTAAGCAAATAAGTATAAATAAATATAACCTTTTTAGATAATCTCGACTCATTTCGCACATTAGCGGGTTGATATCAAGATGAAGTGGTGTTGCGTTGTTTTTTTTGCAATCGTAAATGATTTTGTTAAAGGAAATGTGACTTATTCTTTTATTAGCAATGAGTTAGTACCTGATGTGATACCTGTTGGCCCACCGGAAAGGGCAGATGTAAGTTCTTATTTTAACTTCCCATTAAACTCATTTATGAAGTACACGTTAGCATTTAGTAAGTACTTATCTATACTTAATGCCCAGGAATTTCAAATTGGAATAGCAGATCCTACTGATCGTTCGAGTTCGTTATTAGGTTGCAAGTAGAACCGAGGAAGATATCGGATTGAAAACCCTAAATGTGCGCATCGCGTTCCGCAAGTGCCTCAAGGAGCCATCCAGACCATCATGGATGGGTAGGGCTGGTGCCCGACACAGCGCCGCAGAAGACTTAACAAAGAGCAAAAGTATTAGAAACAGGATAGTTTTTCGCCAGTAAGAGTCGGACACTCCCTCCCGTCTTTCCTAAGGCGGGACAAGACATTTGATGATTTTCGCAAATCTATTAGTTTTTGAGTTTATCGCAATCGTGTATAATAGGTAAAGCTGTGAAGCTCTGGTGGGAACGTACCGCGTCGGGGACCCTGAGGTGTACCTAATGTTATGTTATGTAATGTTAAATTATATAGCTAAGAGACGCATGGTAACAAACGATGCGAAAGAAGTTATCTCGGAACATTTTATTGCTTGAACAATTAGCCTGCATTACGACGCAGTCTAGTTATATTTGCAAAGCATTTGGCTAAGAATTTAATTTGGATTCTTTGCACGTTTAATTTGTTTATGCTTTATGGTGATAGCAGACTAGAGTACCTACATTTGTCATTTGTAAAAAATCTGCGAATTAAGATTGATTTTTGACAGAAATCTATACAACTAATGTCAAAAATTGATCCATTTCTACAGATTTTGAATTGAGATACGTTATTCAAATCGGCAGAAAGAGACTACACATTAAACAGACACAGCAGTACCAGAGCTCTCTAATAGTTGCGAAGCCAAGGCTTTTACAATAATATTATTATAAATGTTTTAAACAGTAATATTATTATAAATGTGTAATTGTATGACAAGGACACGAGTCCGTGGAGAATAAACAACTTTTAATATATATTTATAAAACTGTAAAAAAATTATAAATGTTATGATTATGGACAAACCCTCTTATGTAGAGGAAGTCCATATCCAGAAGGACTGTCACTGATAGCTGAAGAAGAAGAATATTATTATACTTACATGAGGTACATTAGAATTCTTC